TGTAGTAAGCCTGCAATCTCTTCGAGTTCTTTTAGTAGTTTTCTAGTTGAAACTCCTTAAGGAAAAATGTGAACGAAAAAAAAAAGATAAACGGATGTTCCTTCCCTATCGCACATTTATTGACACAGATCCAACCGAAATAGTCACGACTCAACTTGCAGACACTTTGTGGGTTATAATATCGAATAACCGCATTGCCGCACTCGCTACACATGTATAAGATCATAGATAGAGTGAAATAAGGAGTGGAATTGGTTCAATACCAATAATCAATAAAATAGAGATATTGATTTATTAACCCTTTCAGCTTCTTTCTCGTAATTCAGATTAGCTTAATAGAGGTTTCCTCTAGTATACTTTCAGATCCTCATTACTTCCATATCCTCATGGTCAAGGGTTTTGGAGTATATTGAGTTTAGCACGCTCATGCGCGTTCAAATATGCGCTGTCGTACTCCATTTTCGCTTCCTTGAATATGTTATGCAGGGTGATTGAGCTACGTAACCTGGTCCATACATTGTAGCTGAAAACTGTGTGCATGTTTAACCTCTGCTAAATGCTTTACCCCATCCCAGGCAAAAAGTTTTGGAGAATTCCGAGCAGTTTTTTGCAAGTTATTGAAAACAAAATCTCTTCTCTAATTATGTACTTCAACTAGTGGCAGAATAAGCAACATTTCAGAAAACTTCATAGGGTCGACCGATGATGTTGGAATTTGATGGATTAGTAAGTGCAACAAGAATTTTTGATTGTCATACATGGCAAAACTTATGCTCTTCGTGTTTCCTTCTTTCCCTTGAGAAATGGAGAAGCTTCAAGGTACATATCTGCAAACCATAAGTCATATTAAGTCACATTGTAAGTTAATATTGCATGCTCAAGACTGCGCCACCTTAGGAGAATTAGGAAAGTACGGTAGAGAATGCCGTTGTGACTGTACAAAACTCGCACTCGATCGCATTATGCTATGTCAGGTAAGGTATCTTAGTTAAAGATCGTTAGGGATTCACTCTCTTGTTACTGGCGCATGAACGTTCTCATGTTTTTCAGTAATACGCTGACATTTTCCAATTCTCTTGAAAAGGATTGC